GGATCCACAAACTCCCTCTAATTGTTATATCTGGAGAATACCTCCCAATAGTTTATTTGTATAAAATATTCTTTGTACATCTATAATCCAGTGGCTCCTGGTGTTTTAAAATGTGAGAATCCTTTCTCAACATTACCAACACCATAGAACAAATACGGATCCACAGACCCTGTGAAAACTCAGGCTAGAAATTACTGAACTTTTAGACTCAGTACCCCTGATAGGCACTATGATAAAAGCAATTCAAATCTAATTACTAAAAAGGGTACGTGTTATGTACAAGGGACTCTTATCAAAGCTCTCTCAACCGTTAGGAGAAACATTCAAGAAAGGAGAGACCACAAAACATGGATTTCAAGGGTTTTTTTTTAAACACTGAAAACATTAACTTTTCTAGTTTGTTTTTTTTTTTTAAATGAAAGAACCACAGATTTCTCTTCCTTAAAAGACACATAACCCTTTTGCATATTTAAGTGCTCTGAGTCAAAATGATATGAAGTAGTAGCCTGAAATGAGAAATGAAGCATATGGTGGCTCTTTCTGGCCAAGTCTCAGCTTCAGTTGTGACAATGTTCCAATCTGAATTCTAACTCAGGAGTCCAGGGCTCTCTGCAGCCACAAAGCCTGCTTTTCCCATAATGTGGTATCATCACTTCAGAAATGCTTAATCTGTGTCAAGTCAGAGAGGTGAGAGTTTGCTTTTTTTAAATGCAGAAAAGCTGGGATACAGTGTTAGCATTTAATGAGTCATTCTGACTGCTAATATGAAAACACAATTACTGCTAAAATTTTTTTGCTTTTGTATTATTAAAAAATCATAATATTTTCAGAGAATGCTTGCCATTCAGCCAATTAGTACTCCTTATTTAAGTAACATGAATAGATGTCACTGCAATTTATTTACTTATTTATTTTACTTTTAAGATCTACTCTCTTAGATGCAATTTATTCTTTAAACTGAAAAAAAAAGTGACATCTTTGGTTAATTACATCTGGTATTTAGGACATAAGCTTGACATATTTGGGTTAGACAACTTAAACATTTTATATGGAATGAATTTTAATACCTTACACAATATATTTTTTTGTTTTTTTTTGTTTTTTTTGTTTTGCGGTACGTGGGCCTCTCACTGTTGGGGCCTCTCCCGTTGCGGAGCACAGGCTCCGGACGCGCAGGCTCAGTGGCCATGGCTCACGGGCCCAGCCGCCCTGCGGCATGTGGGATCCTCCCGGACCGGGGCACGAACCCGCGTCCCCTGCATCGGCAGGCAGACTCTCAACCACTGCGCCACCAGGGAAGCCCTATTTTTTTGTTTTTGACTTTAGGATTTTAATACAAAATATCATCCCTCAGTGGGTTGTACAATTAATCTGTCTACATCAGCAAGTATAAATCAATTTAGCATACAGTTCACCTCCTTTAAAAAAAATCACTCCCTACTTGCACAGTCCAATAAACAAGTGGAAAAGCTGGAGAAAACTGATGCCTAGCAATGTATTAAGCCAATACACCACAAACGTGCCAATAAACTACAAATAATGGCCACATAAATTCTCAAATGAAATCTTTTACTTCTGATACTGGTGTGTTTCCTAGTGTTCATGTTCTCAACATTTCACAGATAAGAACTACCGAAAAGTACCACGTGGTTTATTTTGAAGTAGGTATTTGGATTTGAACCTCAGGAATCTCCCCAAGTGACCTATGGCCAAGTTGTGATCCAACAATCTCTGTACTAATATCCCCTGGGAGACTGAGGTCTCCCCAGTAGATCTTGACCAATGTCATAAATTCCTCAATCCCTTTCAATTATTCCGGAATAATTCCTATTCACTGAGTGTCCATACACCCATCTTAAAACAAACCAAAAACCCTTCAGCTAGAGAATACATTAAAATAATGGGAAGGTTTTGAAACTTGCAAAGTGCTGAATCATGCTTATGGTTTAGGTTTTGTTTCTACAGTTGGTTCTGAAGGCACAAACTCCCTCTAAGAATACTAGCCACCCTAGTTAATCCATTGGAAGATAGGATCAAGAGTGAATCTAACTTCTTTGTTCACTGTCTGGCATAAATTACCTATTGGAATTAATTATAGTACACAGTTGGAGAAACCAAGGATTCAAAGTGAAACAGAACATTCTAGGAATGGAATGGGAGGAGAGAAAAAAAACCTTCATTCAATAGGTGGCACTCTTT